TATAATTTAACCAGTACAGCCGGGCGGCCATACTGTTCAAATATATTATTTCAGAAATATAGCCGATCGGCTATACTATTTATAAAATAAAATAACAAGGACCTTTTTGGATATTTTAAACGTACAGCCGTTCGGCTATACTCTTTAAATATTAATATATTCGAATATTTTAAGGGTATAGCCGATCGGCTATACTCTTTGAATATATTTGAAACAAACACGAAGCTTGCACTCGCATAGGACGGAGCTCGCAGGCGCAGTCAAGTTTCGGCTGCTTCGTCCTCCTTGTTCGGCACCGAAAAATGACCCAACCCGCCTAGGAGGTCCGCCCAGCCGCCTAGCCGCCTAGCGCCCGCCTACCGCCTAGCGCCCGCCTAGCCGCCTAGCGCCCGCCTAGCCGCCTAGCCGTCCGCCTAGCCCCATTTTTTGAACACTGCGATTGACTGGAAGTCTGAAACCCGAAATTTGCAAACATTATACAAAATTTGCTAATTTTAACTATCTATAGTAACTCTTCTGTTTGCCAATCGCTCTCTCACCTCACTCTCTCTACCTCTCTCTTCTTTCCCCTCCCCCACCAACCCCCATCGCACCCCACCCATCTCCCTCTTCTCTCCTCTCTGCCTCCCTCTCTCTCTCTCTCTCTCTCTCTCTCTCACTAATACTATCCCTACCAAGAGAGAATATGGGGAGTGGCGGTCGAGGAGATTTTTTTTAAAATTTTGAGTGGTGGTGGTGGTTTGGGTGTGTTGAGTAATTCCATGGAGGGTTAGGTATAGGGTGAGGGGTTTGGTTTGGCGAGGGGAAAGGAGAGAAGAGAGAGGCAGAGAGGAGAAAAAAGCAAAGAAAGCAAAGAGAAGAGAGAATGTAGGCGAATATAGTGAGAATATATATAAAATTAATGATACGAGTTTAATGTTTGTTTGTTTGTTTTGGATTGAATGAATAGAATGACCTAGTTGCCGTCATAGGGGATTCTGTTCAAGCTGCGAAACTAGTGAAGCGTATTGTGTGGGACTGCATTGGACACAAAGTGCCTCCTCGTATCAAGGGGGGATTGAACGATTATCTTAAAATGTTCCATGGTCTTAAAAACTAGAGTTATTATAATGAATTATTTGAATAATAATCTCATCTCATCTCCAGGTTGAGATTCCAGCTGTGATGAAGTTCTGGTGGTGGTTGTATCTGGACCCCACCCTCCCAAGGACAAATTAAAGTTTGTTAATTGTAATTAAAATTAGTAGCTACTGCTTGGTGTTCTTTCTCATATGATTCGAATTCTTTCTTTCCAAAATTTCACCATTTTTGAAGAAAATAATAAATGTCGGGAGGAAAATAAAAACCCTTGAACTGTAAGTGTAACCCTATGACTCAAGAGCATAAGGGTGCTGCCAAAAAAAGAAAAGAAAAATCATGACAAGACTCAAGAGCATGTTGTGTAAGTGTTAAGCTTATGAAAAGAAAAGAAAATTTTGTATTAGCTAGAGAGTAAGGGCGCTACAAAACAAAAGTGACCTAATTGATAGATAGCAAAATAAGTCATGGCTTCCTCCATCGCTAATATTTTGATTGATCAAATAGAGAAACAAACAGTATATCACTCTCTGCGTCGAGTTTGATTCCCCTCCACACACATACGTACATTATATTGTAGTTTTCAATATCGATATTGTCCAACAAGTCTATTTTAGTTATACACCTTATGTGGATAATTACATAAAATCTGAGATACAAACTACATAAATGAATCAAACAAAAGATGAATTTTACAACCAACTGTTATTGCAACTCATATCTTACGCATAACACTCACTAGTAATGAGTGACTCGCGTAATTTATTTTAAAAAATAAAAAAATAAAAGTAATTTGGGCTTTACGCCTTTGGTTGCTTGATCAATAATCTGTCACGCCCCGCACCTAGGGGTTGGAAGAAAATCATGTGCCCGGTGCGTGATAAAAACAAAACAAAACATGGGTTTAAAATAAACTTATCTTATAAAAGTAGATCCAAAGTCTTACAAGTGTACAATAAATAAAAAACAACTCTATCACTCTCATCTAATTCAGCTTCAACTGGTTTAGTCATTTGTCTTACCCACTAATTCATCTGAAATTAAACAGGGTGAGGTGTGAGCAACCACTGCTCAACGAGTAGATTATGTAATTTGGCAGTCAAGCAATGCTGTTTTACACACTCTAGAAAATATAATATCTCAGTTATCCTTCATAGCATGTAACCAACCACTTAACCCATATTGGTCTCACTGTCCTATGTCCTACATCTATCCCTTGGATACCCTAACATTGAAGTTCACACGTTCCATGAATAATACACACTTCAAAAAAAATTCCAATCAATATATAGTGTGAAAGACATGATTGACTTGAAATAGAGAGATATTTGTAAATAGAACAAATCCATGATAATTCATGGTTTTCATATTTTATCACAAAATAAGAATTTTTAGAACACATTACATAAACCACTCAACTAGATAATGAGAACCCTTAAAATAAATTGGCAAGACAACCTATCTACCTATCTCCATGTACTACCACCTAAGCCAAGCTCCAAGAATTTCATCACCACTCTCTCTCCTTTTCTTCTTTCCCATTTCTTACTCTTATTTCAATTCTGGAAGGCCCTTTTTATACTAACATAAGTCGGCAACAACAAACATCCCATTGGATAATTGTTTGGCGGTTAAGAAAGGAGATATGCATGGAAACTATCTTATATAATATAAACTAATATTAATCCTATCACAAAAATAGATAGAGTAACTCGAAGATCAACCCTAAGAGGTAAACAATTGCATGAAATTGACGCGAACTCCCATCTAAAGCCACCTCTTGCTAATCAAAGGATAACTAATATTAATCCTTACGAACTCAAGCTTATGTAATTTTCACATGTAGTTGAATGTATCAATTTCACTATAAAGAATGATGCCACGTTTTCACGTTTGCACATGTAGTTAAAATAATTATAATTTATAAAATAAATAGCAAACTATTTAATATTCAATATATATATATATATATATATTTAAAATACGGGTCCTCAAGCTGCGAAACTAGTGAAGCGTATTGTGAGAGACTGCATTGGATGCAAAGTGCCTCCTTGAATTAGTGGGGATTGAAAGATTATCTTAAAGTGTTCCATGGTCTTAAAAACTTGAGTTTGCAATGAATTTGAATAATAATTTGATCTCATCTCCAGGTTGAGATTCCAGTTATGATGAACTTATGATGGTGGTTTTATCTGGACCCCACCCTCCCAAGAAAAAAAATTAAAGTTTGTTAATTGTGATTAAAATTAGTAGCTACTAATTGGTTCTCTTTCTCATATGATTCGAATTCTTTCTTATTCTTTTTAAATATATTTTTAATATCATCTTTAGAAAATTTCACTATATATGAAGAAAATAATAAATATCGGGAGGAAAATAATAAATATCGGGAGGAAAATAAAACCCTTGAACTGTAAGTGTAACCTTATGACTCAAGAGCATAAGGGTGCGGCACAAAAAGAAAATAAAAATCGTGACAAGACATGCTGCGTAATGTAAGCTTATGAAAAGAAAAGAAGCTTTTATGTTAGCTAAAGAGTAAGGGTATTGCAAAACAAAAGTGACCCAATTGATTAGTGTGAGAATGTGAAGGTAAAAAGTTTCATATTGAAAAGTTGAGAAATTTAACAAGGGCTTATTAGGAGTTGAGCTACTCCCCCCATTGCCAATTGGTTTTGGGGTGGACTAACCCGCTCTGATAGGCCCTTATTAGGTTTCTCAGCTTTCCAATATGAGACTTTTTACCTTCACATTCTCACAAGTAGATAGCCAAATAAGTCATGGCTTCCTCCATCGCTAATATTCTGATTGATCAAATAGAGAAACAAACATGATATCACTCTATCAGCTGAGTTCCATTCCCCCTCCACATACGTACACTACATAGTAGTTTTCAATATCGACATTGTCGAAAAAGTGTCTTTTAGTTATACACCTTATGTTTGGATAATTACATAAAATTTGAGATACGTAACTTGCGCATAACACCCACTAGTAATGAGTGACTGGAATAATTTATTTTTTAAAGAAAAAAAGAAAAAGAAAAGTAATTTGGGCTTTATAACTTTGATCTTGCCCAAATACTCCCTCCAACTCCTGAGGGCCCACATTTCATTCCCGCTCCAATTCCTCCGGTCATTGGATCATCGACTCAACTGTATTCCATATGGACAGACTAGGTTAAAACAAACACGTGATTAGGTAGGTTTAGTTTGCTTCATTAGTTATTTTGTTAGGAGGAATAATCTTTTCACTTATTAAGTTTACGTATAAAGACTCGGTTAAAACAAACACGTGCTAGTCACTAATTACTTAGGGTTAGTTTGCTTCATTAGTTAGTTTGTTAGGCTTTGTATATATAAAAGGCCTCATTGTAATGAGAAAAGTAGAATTTTCAATCCTCTTTCTTTAGGCTTCTTCTTCACTCTCGAGTCTCAAGTCTCAAGTCTCGAGACTTATTGCGTTGGATAAAAATGGTGTATGTGCAGGGGCTGGGTTGGGCTGATCAGTCAGTGGGTCTGATAATAACACTAGTCTCGGGAGCGGTGCTCTTGATCGTTCTCTCATCCTCAGTCGATGGCCAACTTTGTCCAACGAGGCCCGTCCAAATTTTCAACTTCGGCGACTCCAACTCGGACACGGGTGGACTCGTCGCCGGACTCGGCTTCTCTGTCAATCCCCCCAACGGCCGTACCTTCTTCAGCAGATCCACCGGTCGTCTGTCCGATGGACGCCTCATCATCGACCTCCTCTGTAAGTGGAACCCACTCTCGCCACCTCCCTTTATACTTGTTAGGATATAGGATTAGGAACCGGCAGTTTCGAGGATTAAATTCTAGTTTCTAATAATTTATAGGGCAAGTTTTTAAGTTTTTCTGCCAGACAATCTGTTTGTGATCCTTAATCTGTAACAGCATGTGAATATGCAGTTTAATAAGACTAAGATAATGTTGTTTTCTTGTGCAGGCCAGAGTCTGAATGTGAGTCTGTTGAGCCCATACCTAGACTCTTTGGCAGGCTCCATCTTCTCAAATGGGGCAAACTTTGCCGTTGCATCGTCCTCTACCATCCCGAAGCGTTTCCCTTTTTCTTTGAGTATTCAAGTCATGCAGTTCATCCACTTCAAGGCTACTGTAGGTATATTTGGAATTTGAATTTCCTTGAGTTATTTGGCTGAGTACACTGCTGAATGTGAACATAGATATTGAGCTTGTGAAAATGTTCTTGTGTTGTGAAGATGTTCTTGTGAAAACCAGCTGACTGAATGACACTGCTTAATGTATGTTTAGGTCCGAAACATTGGATAAACGATGAAGGTTTCCGGAAAGCACTTTACATGATCGATATCGGACAAAATGACCTTTCCGATTGTTTCACTAAAAACCTTTCGTACGTTCAAGTAACAGAGAGAATTCCTTCGGTTATTGAAGAAATCAAGAGCGCAGTTAAGGTGAGTTCGGCGTCTATACAAACGACATAAAAAGGGGCAGGCAGAGTAAAGAAATTATGACAGATATCCTTAGCGAAATTCATTTGTTATCACTTTATATCAATGCTGAAATTTATACTGCATCAATTGTAGGCTTTATACGATCAAGGTGGAAGGAACTTTTGGATACACAACACCGGGCCGTTGGGTTGTCTCCCTCAAAAACTTTCATTAGTTGAGAAGAAGGATTTGGATCCATATGGATGTCTTTCGAGTTACAATGCGGCTGCGAGATCGTTCAATGAAGCATTGCTCGATTTGTGCAACGCGATGAGTTCTGAATTGAAGGATGCTGTGATAGTTTATGTAGATATATATGCCATCAAGTATGATCTCATTGCCAACTCCACCAAATACGGTAAGCCTAATTATGTTAAAGCAAGCAAGTAGCATGCCGGTGAATTAGTTCAATCTAGTTTAGGGGCAATGCAATTTAATTTTGATGAATGTGTTACAATGTAGGTTTCTCTATGCCGCTAATGGCATGCTGTGGCAATGGAGGTCCTCCGTACAACTTCAATGCTGGGCGGCTCTGCGGTCGTCCTGGCTCTCATGTCTGTGAAGAAGGATCCCGATTTGTGAGCTGGGATGGAATTCATTACACCGAAGCCGCAAACACCATCGTGGCCTCAAAGATACTTTCCACAAATTATTCCACACCACGCATTCCATTTGATTTCTTTTGTTGCAGTTAGTCCGGGGTTTGAAAATCAGTATCACTGCATGCTCAAGGATTGAAATTGTTGTACTGGAATGTCCAAATAGGAAATTACAGTTTTAGGAAGTGTATCATGTTGTTGTAAAACATTCTCTTAAGCCTCAATTTTGTATTATAAAATTGGGGATCCCCCTCTGTTGTTATTATGGACTAGGGATATAATTCTTTTGCTAGTGTGTTTGGGCCTTTCAAATGAAGTAAAACAACAAACTCTGAAATAATATATTTTTCTAGAAGCTAGTCTTAAAAATAAAAAAAAGTTCAAAGTTATTGTTTTCTTTTGACTTCAATTGTGATTTCATGAAGGGCAAATTAGTCTTTCTGGTATTAAAATTTTAGGGATGGACCCTTGGATTTGAGCCCAACGGGCCCACATTTATTTCCTGCGTACTCCACTCTTCTTCCCTCCCCCGTAATGGGGATACAAAAATTCAACTCTTACAACGTCGTTCGACTTTTCTCTGTGTTTAGGGTTTCAAATAAAAATGGGCAACCACGACGACGAGCTGTTAAGTGTATGTATTTTTAGTTTTTCTATTGGCTTCCCTTGACAATATTGTAATAGGACATACATTGTAATGATCCAAGCTATGGAGAATAGTTTCTCTAAGTCTTCTTATCTGGCTGCTATCTTATGGAAGATCAATACTGGCAAAGGTAATTTGTGCATTGCATCATATTGCATTCATTAGATTTCTTAAGATTATGATTAGTCATCTTGTTTTTATATGACTAGTTATCCTTTGCATAAATAGGATTTCCAGCTCACTGGTTTCCAACTGGATCCTAACAAATCTTTTTGTCATATTCTGGGAATTTTCTCAACTGCTATGTGTACTTCTTTGACCTAGGAATTTTTGGGTAAATACCCATTGATTCCTCATTTGGCAGCTATCTCTTTTGATAGGAAGTTTTGAAAAGGTTTCTTCATCCTTTTGCTCTCTCTTCTTCCTCAAGAGAAAACCACCATTTTTCATATATGAGTTTTCTAAATTGATTTTTGAAAATTGCGTTTGAAATATGAAATCTGCATCTAGCTAGAACAAACACATTCTTATATACATCTAAGTCAGATTCAAGATTAGTTTATTCAAGAGAGTGGTTTATTGAAGAAATTGGTATTTTCTCCTTGAATCCAAATTGTTGGTTTCTGTTTTCAATTTGAGTAGGCTAGCTGGTGCCATGGGATGAAAGAGCTAAAGAAGGAGCTGCCATTGCCATGAAGGACTAAGCTGCTAGCTTTGCTAAGTTCGAGAAGAAGATTGCATAAAGGAAGTATGGCTTATCTTCCTAAATAGATCTAGGATCTCTTGAACTTGTTTGTGTATCTTTGTAAGAATCTGCTTTGCTTAATGAATTGCTTGGTTGGTTGATGACCCCCAGTTTTTCCCAATAGTGGGTTTCTTGGTGAACAATTTATGGTTTGCAGCTTCTTTATTTTCTAGGTTTGTGTTCTTGATAGTTGACTAGTCATTGCATGATGTTCATGCATTTCTGGCTTTGTGTTCTTGGGGTTGACTAGTCATCATTATCTGCTATTTGCTGTTTACTTTATTATGATATTTTTCACATACTTTCACCATAATTGTTGCTAGCACAAGCGTTGCCTAGATTGACAGGTCCTTCTAAGTGCCTAGGTTGTCACTAGTAATATTTTGGGCTTGTAGGTACATATTGTTATGCTCTGTGTGTGTGTTCTTCGTTATGATTTCTCATGACTAGTAGTTGACTAGTCATAAGAATATTTGGTCAATGTTTAAAGTGTGTGAAGATCACTGTGTCTGCTTGAATATCATTTAAATTTACCCCTAGTCACCTAAGTACCAATTTGTTTGTTTGTTTGTTTTTTTTTAATAGAATGAATAGGATGACCTCGTTGCCACTATAGGGGGTTCTGTTCAAGCCGCGAAACTAGTGAAGCTTATTGTGTGGGACTGCATTGGACGCAAAGTGCCTCCTTATATTGGGGGGGATTGAAAAATTATCTTAAAGCGTTCCATGTTCATAAAAACTTGAGTTTACAATGAATTTGAGTAATAATCTCATCTCATCTCTAGGTTGAGATTCTAATTATGATGAACTTATGATGGTGGTTTTATCTGGACCCCACCCTCCTAAGGGCAAATTAAAGTTTGCTAATTGTAATTAAAATTAGTAGCTACTGCTTTGTTCTCTTTCTCCTATGATTCGAATTCTTTCTTTCTTTTTTTGATATCATCTTTCCAAAATTTTATCATTTTTGAAGATAATAATAAATGTCAGGGAGGAAATAAAAACCCTTGAACTGTAAGTGCAACCTTATGACTCAAGCACATAAGGGTGCTGCAAAAAAGGAAAATAAAAATAATGACAAGACTCAAGAGCATGTTGTGTAAGTGTAAGCTTATGAAAAGAAAGGAAAATTGTGTATTAGCTAAAGAGGAAGGGTGTTGCAAAACAGAAGTGACCAAATTGATTAAATTAGCTAAAGAGAGGGTGATGCAAAACAGAAGTGACCAAATTGATTAAATTAGCTAAAGAGGAAGGGTGTTGCAAAACAGAAGTGACCAAATTGATTAAAGTGCCAAATAAGTCATGGCTTTCTCCATCGTTATTATTCTAATTGATCAAATAGAGAAACAAATATGATATCACTCTGTCAACCGAGTTCCATTCCCCTCCACATACGTACACTATATAGTAGTTTTCAATATCAACATTGTCTAAAAGTCTCTTTTAGTTATACATCTTATGTTTGGATAATTACATAAAATTTGAGATGCAAACTACATAAATAAATCAAACAATAGATGAATTTACGACCAACTATTGTTATTGCAACTTATATATTACGCATAATACTAACTAGTAATGAGTAACTCAAGTAATTTTTTTTTTTTTTTTTTTTTTTATTTAAGAAAAAAAAAGTAATTTGAGCTATAGACCTTTGATATTGTCCAAATATTGAAGGAAACATGCATTTAATGCTTAGGAAATAAACTTTAGTTACAACCTATACAACAAAAACATTCTAAATGGCAGATTCATTTTGTTTATACTAGTTGAACTAAACATTTTTCATTTTAAACCAAGTATCTTAGCCTAGTCTTTTTGAACACAAATAGAAAAAGGAAAAAGAGAATAGATCATTTACCCTTGATGACCTTTTTTTGATTTCTCAAGAATGAACACCTTTGTTGGAAAAACCTTTTGTTTCTCTTGATTTTGACTCCTTCACTTTAAGGGTCCAAGATTGGAGTCCTCTATCTCACCACACCAAATGCTCCTAGAGATGAAGAGAAGACAATCAAGAAGTATGGATGCTAGTCTACTTCTTGATTGGACCAATTTTTAGTTTATGGAAGATGAGATACAAAGACAATCACTCATCAAACAAAGTAGGAAACCAAAAACCCTTGCTAGGTTTTCTCCAACACTTAGTTTATATAGGACAACACAAAAGGCAATTAGGTGGGTATTTGAGGCTCCATTTGGTCCATGGGTCATGTCATCTTATGTCACTTATCCCTTGTGCCCAATAACCTTTTGGACTATTTTGTCCATTTCCTTTTACATTATATTTAACCCAATTCAATATTTATATATGTTAATATTAATTTCATAATTAATCTTTTAATTATAAATTAACTATTAAATTATAATTATAGTCTTACTTAATTGATCCGGTCGAACTATTTGACTTTGGTCAATTCCTCCGGTCAACATGTTGACTTTTGACCGTTGACTTTGACATTTGATTATCAACAATTGACTTATGTATCTTTATTTGTACATCTAATCACATTCTTTGGGTGTGCAGATTCGTAGGTTCCCTTTAGTAAGGTAGTGGGTTGACTCAACTCCTCAGAGATGATATACAAATTAAATTCCACAATTAATTCTTCATATTAATAAAGGTTAATTGAAACCTTTTAGGACATCCATAAACCATGGTTGTTGCCTAGCAGAATATAACATCCCACATTGACCAACGGAGAGGGGGTGATGTACCTTATATGTACATGTCCGCCTCTATCTAACACGAGGCCTTTTGGGAGCTCACTGGCTTCGGAGTCATGGGAACTCTGAAGTTAAGCAAGTTGGGGCTAAAACAATCCTAGGATAGGTGACCTACTGCGAAGTTGCTTGTGAGTTCCTAGAAACAAAACTGTGAGGACAGGGGGCCCAAAGCGGACAATATTGTACTACGGTGGAGCCGATCCCGGGATGTGTCAATTTGGTGTCAAAGCCACTCTGCCATGTGGTGCGAATGTGACGACGAGGACGTCGGGTCTTTAAAGGGATGGATTGTAACATCCCACATCGACCAACAAAGAGGGGTAATGTGCTTTATATGTACATGCCCGCCTTCATCTAGCACAAGGCCTTTTGGGAGCTCACTGGCTTCGGAGTTATGGGAACTCCGAAGTTAAGCGAGTTGGGGTTAGAGCAATCCAAGGATGAGTGACTCACTTGGAAGTTGCTCGTGAGTTCCTAGAAACAAAACTGTGAGGGCAGGGGGCCCAAAGCGGACAATATCGCGCTATGGTGGAGCCGATCTCGGGATGTGTCACAACAAATCATGGTCATCCAAGCTAAATGAGACGTTGTGAAAAAACCTATTCAAATTGGAATGATCGTGCAATTGAATCTTTCTCTTATGTCAATACTCCTTATTCACATTATTAGATCATGGAATCTGATTGTCAATATCCTAATATGAATCATTCCTTTTATATGATTATCCTGGTAAGATTTGAAGACTTCTTCTTTCAAGTCTTATCCACTCATTTGCGCAGAGATTTGACCAATCATATCTTGGAGTATTCTACCTGCTTTACTGAGAATAGAGATTCCTTGTTGTACATTCATTTGCTTCCATGAATCTATTGAGAATCTTGATGAGCACCTTTAAGCTATGCCTAATTCACCATGACCATTTAGTGCCATCAAAGATTAACAACATAACCACAAAACATCTATGATGCCTTAGGTCTA